AGAGATTCAAAGGTCGGTTCCACCAGAAGACGACGGCGAATTTCTCTTGACCAGCTGTCGATTGGCTTTAATGGAAGGTTCATGCTGACGCTGTTTCCGAGGTAATCTCATCCGATTCCGGTGGAAAGGTGCTAAGCTTACGTCCGTCACATGACAGACATCATCAGAGCGAGGTAACATCGTCACAACAAAATTCAAGCTAACGGGTCAAGAAAACTCCCCGGCAAATCCCTAAAAAGTGGTATATATACTCTACATCTGGCCTCTTTGATCAAGTATAAAGTGATTCGGTTAGTCAGGATCATAGGTCAACTTCGATGCATGTGAGTGTGTCTGCCTATGTGTATGTGCCTGTTTGTATTCGCTTATGCACAAAACCCGCAGTGATGGCTTAAAGTAAACACGGTGTTTTGCTGGTTATGGGGACTTCACAACACTGACCCTAACCCTAACCAAATCAACAAGATCACAAGGGTTGTCGCCAACCATCTTTTCTCTTCGTTTAGTATGTTTTTGCCTCATCTCGTAAATAATGGATTCTTGCTTTGATGATGTATGTCACGGCGGTACAGAAGAATACTTAGCACAGGTTCATCGGTGCCGCAGGACGGTGAGCTGAAGACTTCTTCACTACTCGGCAATCCTCTTTCCCTCTCCAGTGAGGCAACATTACCAATTCCTTGCAACCAAATTTACCTTCGAGATGGAAAATGACGTCACGATATATAACACTACGGAAGTCTTCAATACTCAGTTTTTATTCACATACTTCTTCTCTTTTCGACCCGACCGATTCGCAGATTCATTCCCTTTAACTTTCCCTTGAAGCGAAATCCGAGTCAAAACATGTCAAGGGACGCTGAAGGGATTCTTCGAAAACCATCCTTTATTAATACACCAGTTGAATGACTGGATTGACACAGCCTAAGTATAATGAACAGAGACAGGTGTACCGTTACATCTGGGAAATATCGCAAAGTATATTGATGCAATCGTTGACTTAAACTTAGACCATCGTATAAACTCGGCTTAGCCCTTACCCTTGATCGACGAAGCCAACACTCTCTGGCCTAGACAAACAGTGATTATGTGAATGCTCATATGGACTTGGCCGATTACAAATGGAATCCTTGTAAGGAGGCCGACTACTCTTAAAGCAATAATCACCATCATTCAAGATGATAGATTGGCCACAACCTTCTTGAAGTGAGCTTTCCATCTGTATTGGACATCATAATTTTATTTAAGTCATATTTGATATTTGATATTAGTCAGTAGTACTAATTATTATTGATAAAATAATATGACAAGTAGCAATACTAAATACGCATTTCGAAACGTTAATGTCTCCTGAAAGTGAACTTACTATGTGTATAATGCACCATATTTTCTGTTTTATGCAGTGATAATAATAATAATTGCTGCTAAAATAACTAAACTTATATGGCAAGTAGTACATTCAAACGACGGGTTTCCAGCAGTCACTTGCCTCTGTGAGTTTTTTTCTTGAAGTAGGCCTCATACTATAAACCATTTAATAGGCGAAAGTATATAGTAATATTAATAATTACTATTATTATGTCATAATTAATAATTAAAAGCGGTTTTCAAAGGCCACTAGCGACTAAAGGTGGCTTGCTGCTTACATTATGCAGCATGTTTCATGTTATTACGTAGTGTATATAGAGACAGCAATAATTAAATTATTGACAGTATAAGAAAATTGATACATTTAAATGACGAATTTCTATCTGCCACTTTCTCCTAAAAATAGGACTTTCATTTTTTGAGCAGGTTTTCTGGACTACCAGTAAATCAGATACATAAGCTGTGTTCACCTTATTTCGTTTAAGGTGATGAAGGACTGGAAACCATCTGAAGCAAGTCCATGTTAGATCTAATGAAAATATTAGGTCTATTCATATAATTGTGAGAAAAGTTCAACTATTAGTCGTTCATCACATTAAAGGAAATATGATGCTACAGCTCATGATGAGAATTTTGTCTGAAGGGTTTAGCATACATTATACAAGTAAATATGTGAAGTTTTATATTAATACTAATAATTACAATAATAATTGTGTCGTACTATTAAGCACTTATTATTTGCTTAATTCATCAGTAAATATTTTATTTTATTACGAATTAATGATTAACTAAACAAATGATTAATTCTTAATATTTTATTTAATATTTATTTTTATAATATTTACTCATATTTCTTCGGACAGACAAGCATGTAAGGGAGAGTATGAAATATGAATTTAGGCAGTTTCACCCACTTTCCCTGCCAGTTTTCGGACATCTCGAGGATCGTCAAGTCCACCTTTTCGCCGGCTCCCCCGACGTGTACATCAATGCCCTGTTTCCTTAGCGACTCCAGTAGCATCCGATCCCCATAACCGCCGATGGTTCCTCCGTGGCCTCCCTCGGTCTGCCCAATCAGCGGTCGGCTGTTCCAACGCCACGTGAGCACGGGATCGGGATAGCCCGCCATCTTGCAGACCAGTTCCACACGCTCGCCCTTGCGGACAAGACGGCGGCGGATGGCCTCAGTTGAGACGATGGTGGGCGGAACTGTGGTGATAGAGGAGGGAAGGAGGCGAGGATGGCCGAAGAGGAAGGTAGAACAGATTAATAGATACTTCGTTCTCTGTTAGACTCTCCTTTTGCTGGCGTGACAGCCCCTGACAACATGGCTCTATCTTATTTAAACAAGAACTCTAAGGTGGCATAAAGTGGTGTAAATGTGATAGCTGGATTATCTCGCAAAAATATACAAGAAGAAGAAAATGACGCCTTGCCTCCCGGATGGTATTCTGCTCCAGGTTGGATGTAATTGTATTCTCAGTCTTGCCGCGATCTCATCCGCACCATCTACGGGACTCGAACCCATGCATTACTGCACCACTGAAGCTATTGCTGAGGCCCAGATGTGGCTAAAATTGCAGTCCCACCCAGCCTGGATGTGACTATCGTTTGAAAATAAAGTTTGCTAGCATCATCAGGTCTACTCATATTATTCTGGAAGAATTAAATTATCACTTATTCTTCATTTTGTCTGAACTAGGCGCTCAGCCACCCATTGTCAATCATTGTTTTAGAGAACCTCCAAGGCTAAGACCAAACATTTACAGCTGCTACCCCTGCTCTCGACAAATCACGATTCCTCACACTTTGAAGCATATGCTGCTTAAAGCCTCTTAATGGTGGACCAAATCTGTACTTCTGTTACTCCTCTAAAGCGTAACTCTATTCAGCCCTTTTGAAGCAAAAAGGCATGATGAGTTAAATGCAGATTTTAAAACGAGCCTCTTGACAATTTCCCAACATCAGATCTGCCACTTTATATGAAAACATTCGCAACTCGGCGTCACCGGAAGTCCATGAAGAACTGATCTTGGGCAAACTATTGCTTTGAGCATGCAAGTCCTCTGTCTTATGTCTATCCAAGCTAAGCTTGTGTATATCCCACCGCGACAGGTTCACACGCACACGTACACGCCTACAGCCTCTTTCAATTCAGGTACTATGAACTCCTCTTGAAGTGGATCTCTTCAATTGTCCAACTAAGCGAAAGAGTCGGTATTGCCCCTACTCGAATCTCTAGCCTCGATAGCAGTCTGAAGTGTCATTTTTGGCTACACGAGGTAGTCGCCCAGTGTTCTTAGCGTAAACTTATAAAATAACTATGCACACCATGACAGGGGGAGACAATAGTTGACTAGAAATACATCGAGACATCGAAAACCCTACACTCAAGGCCAGAGCAACAGGTGAGCTTCCTTCAAGTAATGATGTGCCATGATGGATGAGTTCGAATTTGGAGAAGAAATTAAAGGTCCAATGATATGAAAAATATGTAATTACTAGAGAATAGGAAGATTTTTTACACAAGGTCGCATGCTTTAGACTAAATAAGGAAGGATACAGACCGTTTTGCTGAAAACCTATTTTCAAGCCTAACTTTTTACCTGAAATCACTATATATACTACTAGTGGGTTTTCCAGTAGACAAAGTTAAATATAGCAATAAATGTCATTCATTTAGAAAAATAACAATGCTTACCTAAAATGGTTATCTGATAGTATCGAGAGTCCATTCCCGCCACATTCTCTGCTCGGCACTCATAGGTTCCGGAATCTTCTTCGTATTTCCCGCGTATTTCCTGAATACATTCAAACAGCCAAGGGTTTTTATGCATTAGGATACGCAGGCTATAAAATTTATTCATATGAACCTTAAAACACTCATAAAAGGCTTCGTCTTGTCCGTACTATCCACCTTGCCGAAATCGTATCTCGCCTCCTGGGCTTCGCAACAGTCGAGTCTATTGTCTCACATCAAAGGAGTAGGTGAAGAGACTAACTTGGGTTGCTTGGACAGCCAAAATTTGGGCCTGACTTTATAAGCAGGTCGTCGGTGCCGAAAAGAAATAGCACTGATTTTCCTAAATTCCACACAAAACAACCATTCATTGGGCCACTTTGACTCGGGCCAAACTCTTGCACACCAGCAAACAGGACCGGATCTCGGTGGATGCAGCCGATGCGCTGTCCTTGTTGCTGTAAATAACGCATTCGGCGGCCATCATAGCCGAAACAGATCCGACCGGGAGGCTGAAGGCAGACAGCGTCGGACATGTGGCTAGGCCACATGTGACCCCGAAGGCTTGGGCAGAGGATACCGGTTCCCTTAGAACTGACAACTCGATATGGCCATGCCGCAGGTTAGACTAAAACTGCCACCCTCGGTCTGGGTCTTCTTCACAGGATCAAACGAAGAGATGATCCGGCCTTGGCGAGCACTTGAAATGCACTTTGTTGCGTAGCGGAACTTCTGCCTCTGGAGTCACAGACGCAAAGATCCGAGGCAAATCTCCGACCACGAGAGGAAATGACAAGTCGGACATGCCTTGCAAGGCAAAATAAGCGCTGCCCAACTCAAAATGGTTGACTGATTGTCAACCGGAAGTATGGAGAAAAAATGGGTTTTAGAAGAATTCTTTACTGTGTGTTGTGACATGACTTACGTTTCAAATGAAAATTTGGTTGGAAGGAATACCTGATGTGGTCTTACCGGAGACCGAAGGAGGATGGCCGCGTAGTGAAAACTGTTGGATTGGGCGAAAAAGTCTCCGGCTCACCGTCCTACGACCCTGATCAACCTGTGCTAAACTTTTGTATGTACCACTTCACTAAGTGGCAATTCTCCTTCGGTCTCCGTTAAAACCACATCATAAATTCCTTCAAATAATCTTTTTTTCGAAATGGAAAGTCATGCAACAACCATATGTACCATCTATTTGGTACCAGCTCTCGCGCAGCAATGATTGTTAGTCTGTCGATGACAAATTTTCACGATAGTTTATTTCCCGCCGGACTCAAAAGCAATGTTGAGCTCGCCTCGTCAGTTGTAGAGCCAAAAGTATGCCAGTCCGTCTGGACGGGCTGTACCCGCAAGAATTCTACGTTAATCTGTCATTCCTTAGGTTCACGGCCCGAGTCCTGCTGGTAGGGCTGCATCACCATGAAGTCAGTTGAATCCCTGTTCTGGCCTCACTTCCTCTCCCTACATCTGCCCCGGAACTGATGTTTTCGCCCAATTTTGGAGCACGACTCGAGTCAAGTCCTTTGTTGGCCAGAAGTCAACTCGCCACCCCTGCAACCCCACAGCCCAACCGCTAGCGAAGTAGGACTGGACCGAGCCTCCGTCTATGCTTGAAGTGTCTGCCTCGATTGCCAAATTCAGGCAAACCGGCAATCAAACTGAACATTTACAGACTTTTTTCGACAAAATGTAAGAAATAATCTCAACCTTCGCGTTTCTCCGCCTGTGCACGAAAGAGTGCACATGACAGATGAACGAAAAATGTAGTTTATGCTTTGGCCACCCCGCCATACTTATCGGTTGGTCCTATCTCCTTCGTGGTCGAGGTCATGACCCAGCCCAACTGTGCAAGTTTGTCCTTAAGGGTGCTGCTTATCGCTGCCACATCTGAAAATGGCTTTCTGACTTGCCTTATTCCTCCGATTGCTGCTCTCCTCGAGCTGATGGCCTACAGAAACAATTCTTCACAGTTCTGACGAATGTGATCAATTTGCCCCAACATGGAAGCTTCGA